CACCAAGATCCTGGCGTGGGAACGAGCTGCAGTGCCACAGAGACATAGTGGACTTTAGAACAAGTATAAATAAACGTCAGTGCATCCCCTGGGACTTGCCAGAGAGGGGTGGGGTGGGGTGGGGAATGCTGCAGCCAAGTTGCTCCTGATAACAAAGAAAGGCTCTTTGTGTACAGCAGTGCCAGCCTGGCCCATCTGCATTGGTGGGCAACGCTGCCACCTGAAAGGTGGCCCCATAAAACATGACACTCGAGGAAAAATGGGAGTGAGCTTGTTTGCTTTCTGTCTGTGTTCACACAGCATTGCTGAGATGACAGCCTGGCCCACGGGGCAGTTTCATGTCACAGATAAGGCTCTGCCTAATCCAGCTGAGATTTCCTGGTCCTGGCAGCCATGTGGAAGCAGTTTGAAGTTTTGGGAGCAATGTGTGGGGGCACAGCACTCCTCCAAATGGACTTTTCTTGAGTTGTCTTCTCTCCCATGTAACACAGGGGATGGAAGGGGCAAGCAGTGCACAGCAGCCTGGAAAGAAGATCGTGTGGAAGCCTTACGTGGTGAATGGTCAGTGCTGCATTTGGGGGTTTCCAGGGCTCTGTGCATTATTATGTGTCTATGCTGTGAAAGTGTTAGGGAAGGGTGTTACTTCTTGTCCAGGCTTGTGGGTTTGTGGAGGAGCACACTCAGGCGAGCCAGGATAGCAGCTCTGCTGTTCCCCTGGGTCTGCCTATGAGTTTCCTTTTCAAGGAGTAATGGCCATAAATTAAACCACAATAAGCTCCACCTCAACATGAGGGAGAACTTCTTTCCATTGAGGATGGCAGAACACTGACACAGGCTGCCCAGGGAGGTTGTGGATTCTCCCTCTGGAGACATTCCAAACCCACCTGGACATGTTACTGTGTCACCTGCTTCAGGTGACCCTGCCTGGGCAGGGGAGTTGGACTGGATGATCTCCAGAGCTCCCTTACAACCCTGACTACTCTGTAATTCTCTCCTGGGCTGCCTTTTTCACTGCGTTTGTCCCTGTGTCCCCAGGAGAGCTCTTGTCACTCTGAAACATGCTGCTGTGTGGCCCCAGGCTAACAGGCTGTTTTCCTGCATGATCATACTGGGAAGTGTCCCTGTGTGTGTGTGTGAGCAGCCCAGCTGTGTGGCACTGCAGCACTGACAGGCTCAACGCTGGGGAGAGGCTGAGGACCTCTGAGGTGTTGCTTGCTTCCTTCCCCTGCTTCATGCTGCCTCTGTCCTCTGCCCAGAGATGGAATATGAGGCCAGCTTCCCTGAGAAGAAGTCGAACACGCTGTCACGAGACCTCATTGACTACGTGCGATACATGATACAGAACCACGGGGAGAACTACAAGGTATGTCCTGGCTGTCCCCAGAGCAAGGAGCACCTGGAGTGATTCACTCCTGGGTCTTTTGCAGGATGAGAATTGATAATCCTCTCTGTCCTGGATCCTGTTTTGCAGTCAGGTGATGGTTAAGGGAAAACACCACTTTGAACCACGGCCAGATCCCAGTCTGAGTCAGGCAGTGATTGCACTGGTGTGGGTGGGTTGCTGTGGTGTTTGTTCTTGGGGCTGCTTCTCTCACTTACCCTCTCCTTTGCTAAAGGAAATGGCTCGAGATGAGAAGAACTACTATCAGGATACTCCCAAGCAGATCAAGAGAAAGATCAATGTGTACAAGAACTTCTATCCTGAGGAGTACAAGGAATTCATTGCGTCACTCAAGCCAGAAAAGATGGATGTGCAGTGAGTGCCCTTCTTCCTCAGGTTTGCCTGTGCAGGCTGGACAGGACCATTTTCTGAACTGAGCAGGGCCTGATGGACAGGTGACAGTCACTCACAGTGAGGAAGGACCTTCATTAGATAGTTTTACCCAGCCAGAA